TTTACTAGAAAAATAAAAAAAGACCACTTTTGGCGACTAAAAATATTTTTTAGTCGCCAATTCTATATTTTTGGCTACTAATTATTTTTTAGTTGCTAAAAAACTTAACTTTTGTCGACCAAAATCGGATTTGGTCGCCGAAGATGCACTTTCAGCTACCAAAATTTTGGTCGCCAAAAAATTTAATTCCCGCCTTAGGATTTTAGTTCTCCCGCGCTAAAAATGACCACTTTTGGCGACTAAACTTATTTTTTAGTCACCAATTGTAGACTTTTAGCTATTAAAATTTTTTGATACCAAAAAACTTTACTTTTGGCTACCAAAATTTTTTTAGTCGGTAAAACTCATATAATCAGCGACCAAACTTAGTTTTAGTCGCCAATTGTAGACTTTTGGCTACTAAAATTGTTTAGTCCCCAAAAAACTTTACTTTTGGCAACTAATGTTGTTTTGGTCGCTGAAAGCTATACTTTCAGCGACAAAACAATTTTTTTTTTGTCAGGAAATTTAGTTGCCGAATGTACTTTTTCCTGTAGTGTATATTGAGTTTAATTTATTTATTTTTAATCATTTACTGCATTTTAAAAATTTAGAAAATATATTGGCATTTTTTATTTTTTCAAAAATGTCATTATAAGCTTGGAAAGTTTTTGGCTTAGTGGCATTTCTCAAAATGCTATAAAATATTTTTTTATGACACTTTTCACCTAAGTGCCATAAAAAGTAATTTGCACCTACCTAATGTCTTGACACTTTTTAAAAAATGCCATTGCGACTAAAGTTTAGTAGCATCTGTTGGTAAATGTCACGAACATAATTTTTTGTGTCATTATTTTATAAAATGCCATAAAATTAATGTGACATTTCTTTATTGAAATGCTACTAGAGCCTTATATGTTTGTGGTTCTGTGGCATTTTTCTAAAACATTTAATGCCAATTTTTATTTTTGTGGCATTTTCTAAAAACATGCCATTAGTGTAGTGTTACTAAAGTGTAAATTTGTTGTAGTGACATTTTTGTTATAATGAAGTGACACTTTTTTTTAATTGAAATGCCACTAGAGTCTTGTATGTTTGTGGCTCTATGACATTTTTCAAAACAATGCCATCAAATATTCTTTTTGTGATGTTTTTTAAGAACATGCCACTAGTGTAATGTCACTAAAATGTGTTTTTGTTGTATTACACCCACATTATCTTGTTTTCAAACAATCACAATTTTGTCATTATCCTGACTTTCCAAATCCCTAGTAAACCTAAGTAATTGACTAATGACCACGTGAGTGAGATAGATGCATGTTCACCTTTTTAAGAAAAAATTAAAATAATTATGAGTTAGATGTGATTTATTTTATCTTATTTAATTAAAATAACTTATTTTATATTATATGATTATTTTAACCCAAATATATATCCGCAACAGAGCCATAGTCAATGAGGGCAATAAAAAAATATTTAATAAAGTTGTTGAGATAAATAAAATGAAATGGCTTTCACATTAGTTGATAAAAGTCAATTTGCCTAATAAAAATTAATTTTGGTAGTTGAAGGGATAATATTTAATAAAAATTAACTTGAAAGTAATGAATCTTATTATTTTAATTAATAAAGTTAAATTGAAACAATAATATTCTATTGGGTTTATTGGAATGAGTTTGAAATGGAATAGAATGACGATTCTCTTAAAATGGTAAATGATCATTTCATTTGTAATGCATGTTGTCATTATTTTTTCAGTCAACTAAACATATGAATGAATATTTGATGCAAAATGAACCAAATATTATCTAAATATATTTACTATAAGAGCACTAAATATAATTTTTGAAAATTCTATAATACACATCCCTTACCATATACACCCTTAGTTATATCATTTTCTTATTTAGTTATGACATTTTTTTGATATGTTTGGTTACGCTTTATGTAACGTTTGGTTATGACTTTTTATTTTTATTTTTATTTTAGTTTTGACTCAAAAAGTATAGAGTTATGCAATTTTTTTTTTTAGTTATAAGATGCATATAGTATACATCCTTTAAGAAATGTGTACCATAATCTTTTCCAATAATTTTTCCTAAAACCAAGTCAAGTTGGTGGTTATGAAAGTTATTCAATATTAATTCCAACATTGTTACACATGAATATTCACTATACTTGAAAGCATCTAGTACAATCGTGTTAAAAGAAGAGAGAATTACATATCAGTAAAGTTTTTACAAAATATTTGCAGGTTATTAGAAAAAAAATTATAAATTTAATTATTAATATTAATAAACTTTACTATTGATTTGATTTTAAAAATTTATACATATATTGAGATGTAATTTCCCCTTGAAAAAATTGTCAAAGTTAATGTGACATAAAAAAATCAAAATTGTAGGTCATCAATGGCCTGTCAAATTTTGACAATGATCAAACTTTGTGCCTGAAAAATTTGAAAGTGGTGTCAAATAACTACATTGAAAAGAAAAAGAAAAAAAAAAAAGGTGAAAGTGTTGCCAAATTGTAGTTCGTTAAAAGAACACCTTTGCACTCTTTAAACTTCCTGTTGTGAATTGGCCCCAAGTGGAAATTGAGTGAAATTATAGACACTATCTTCAATTTTCGTTCTTGAGGGAGAATCGGTAAAATAAAAATGTGAGTTAAATGCATTATTTTTTCATCTAAAATAATAATTGATAATGACAAATAAATACATTTAAAAAAAATGAAAATGATGTTAAAAATGAGAAAATTAAAATTTTGTGACCCTAAGTAATTTTTTTTTTCTAAAATTACAAAGATAACAATGTAATTAATCAAAAATTAAAGGTGAGAACGACGAAAAGTCACCTCCAGCTTCATGTAGGTTTTTCTTTTCATTTGTTTTAAGGGTTATTTTAAGAAATGACTTATAAGTTGATTTTTTGATTTATTACAAAAAAAAAATATATTTAAAAAGTAGAGAAGCGATATGACTCAAATAAGTTAATAAGTTAATAAATTAACTTTTTTATATTTTTCCCAAAAGAGGCCTAAATAAGAAAAATTATTTTCATCTAACAATCATGATTTTGTCATTACCTTAAAATTGATATTTTTATTTTTATATTCCTCATACCAAATATATATATATATATACATTTTGGCTGATGACAAATTACATGTAGTTGACTGATGACAAATTTGGTAATGCGAGAATATTGTAATGATCGCATGATTCCGTGTGTGTAATAAAATTTATTTACATAGCAAGAGTTGTGTAGGATTTATAATGTGATTTAATGATCATAAAGCCGGTTTGTGGTGAACTAAAATAGTATAATTTTCATTTATTTTGTTATTATATATATATATATATATATTTGTAAAAAATTAAAAAAATATATTTATTTAAATTATTCTAAACAACCTGATAATGTGAAAATGACGATCACTCTTTCAACAACCAAAACATTTGAAGTCATACAATTCGAGGACCTATTCATTTGTGACTCAATTATATTCATTTGTGACCCAATTAAATTCATTCTTTCCTTCCAACAATAAAAGTTTTGTCTTTGCTCTGGCTTTAGTACTTATAGCCTAGGTAAACCCAAGTAATTGAGCTAGAATTTCAACAATAAAATTACCACATGGTCAAGAAAATATTTTAAACAAAAATGCTATGAACCACCCTTATCGATTCATAATTTATCCCAAATGTACTTTTAGGGTTCATGAGTAAAATAAATTTAAACAATTAATTTATTTTTTTTGGAGTAAATTATGAATTTATAGTTTTGTTTTATTTTAAAAAGTACTTAAAATTTACATTTATGTATTGAACTTCTCTTTTCAAGCGTTTCTAATGACAAGAAAACCAAGAAGTTCAATTTTGGAACGATTGAAATGATCGCAAAAAGTCAAATTTTTTGTAGTGACATATATATTATCTTATTGGAGTTATATCATCTATTATTTTAGTCATATTATTTCTCTATCACATTGTACATTTTTTCGTAAAAGGTTAAAAATTTATAAAAGTAGAAATGCTAAGGATTAAAAATTTAGACATAGAAAAAAATTAAGAAAAGTAATGTCTAGGTCAAATTTATTATAATTATGAACTTCATCACATAAGAGTTGAATCTAAACTGCTCAGTATTTTTTTTTTTTGGGGGTGTATTTTTTAGGGGTTTTTAAAACACCAAAAAAAATATAATAAAATAATGACTAAAGGTCAATAGTTGCATGACGTATCTTTTATATTTTTTAAATTCGAAAAATTGAAAAAAAAAATGCATTGAGAAGAGTTTGAACTCTAAAGACCTAATAACGTTTTTCTTTACATTATAGTATAAATTTTCCATGAATGAGGGGTCAATTCCGCATAGCACTTGGTGACTGGGCAGTTTCCTTTGTGACTTTATTTATTATGGGTGAAAATTTTCATTTTTGCCTTTCAATTTCATAATTCACATCAATAAATTTTTATTTTAAAATCAAAATGGTTATGGAAAAATTTGAAACTTATATGGACATGATAGTCATAAATCGTTAGTTTTTAAATATAATAAAGTGCCATAATCCTAAGAAATAAAATAGAAGTATCCATTCCATTTGTGAAATGAAAGGAATCAAAATCTAAATAGCACGAGTAATTATCCAATCTTTCAACAATATTCCTTGATTCATAGCATGCCTTCTTGACTTCATGAGTTGGATTTCCATATTTCATTTTTGCCAACTTGATATTTTTTTTTTTTTTTTTGATCAGCAAAAAAAATCAACTTTATTGATGAAGATTCAACAATACAGATGAATACATCAACAAAGAAGGAAAAAAACACACCAAAGGATGGTGAGATACCATCCAAGAAGACAACCAAACAAAACAACAGAACTACACCCCACCCAGAAAAACAAACAGCCACACACCATACACAACAAACTAACAGAACCACCAATTTAGTCCTAACACCCCCAACTTCCACCAACTACAAGAGAATAGAAGCAACCCAACACCACCGATGATATTAAGGCAGAGATACATACCTGATTTGTTGCAATCTCCGAATGATGTCCTGGACTGAATAAGAACACCCTTTTGAATGAGCTTTGACCCAAAAAGCCACTCTAGCCAAAATCAACTCACAGAATTCTGCAACGCAAAGCTGCTTCCCAGAGAAAATTACTTCATTTCTGAGTTTCCAAGTAGACCACATGACAGCCAAAGGAATAACTTTCCAAATTCTATCTTCAAACTTTCTCCACTTAAATCCCATCCACCAATGAAGCAACCCTTCAACATTACCAGGCACAGCCCACTGAATCCCCCACCAGTTTAACACTGTAGACCATACTTGCCAAACAAAAGGGCACCAAAGAAGAACATGATTAACTGTTTCAGCATCATTCCTGCAAAGAACACAATCAATGGAAGCACTTTGGTTGAGAACGCCAATCTTTTGCAGAAACATGGTTGTTTTCAATCTACCTTTCCACGCTAACCAACCAAGGAACTGAACTTTCGGAGGGGCCAAATTATACCATAACAGACCAGTGCACAGAATTGAAGGACTATCTGCACAAACTTTTGAAAGGGAGGATATAGAAAATTGTTCTGATGAACATGCCAGCCACTTCAAACAATCTTCATTGTCCCCAGCCCCCAACTCTGCTTGATTAACTAAGGTAACTAACCTTTCCAACTCCTCGGCCTCCCACGCAAACAACACTCTGCGAAACTTAAAATTCCAGACCCCTGATAATCTTTTCCTCTCCAACAATGCACTTAAAGTTATATCTTTTTCTGTTGATAAACTGAATAGCCTAGGGAATTTTTCCATAAGACACTGATTCCCACACCAATGATCCAACCAAACTTGAATCCTGCCCCCATTTCCCACAACCAACTTAATGTTATCAAGAAATATACTCTTCAATTGAGAGTTTGATTGGCCAACCCTTAATATCCCGCCCCATACCTTAGATAAATATTCATCAGAGCTAGGAAAAGGCAACCATTTCCCACCATTATACTGGTATCTACTACACAGAACCCTTTTCCATAAGGATTTATCTTCAACACCAAATCTCCACCACCATTTCGCTAGCAGATAGTCATTCACATCCTGGATCCTTCTAATTCCCAGTCCACCTTGGTCCCTTTTTTTAGTAATCTCCTCCCATTTAACCAGATGAATCTTCCGTCTTAATTCAGACCCTCCCCACAAGAAAGCTGCCCTCAAACTCTCAATTGTCTTAATCACGGAATGGGGCATCTTCAATATGGATAAGTAGTACACAGGTAAGCTGGATAGAACAGACCTGATGAGAGTTAAACGACCCCCAAAAGAGAGAAGTTTCCTTTTCCAAGATGCTAATTTGGCCCTGATTTTATCGATTACTGGTTTCCAAGTTTTCTTTAATCTAGGGCTAGCACCAAGAGGCAAACCAAGATAAGCTAGAGGAAGACTTTGATTTTGGCAATTAAGCACACCAGCACAGTCCTTAACCATCTGCACAGTCACACCAATTCCACATACATAGCTTTTATGGAAATTTATTTTCAGCACTGACACTAATTGGAAACATCTCAAAATTCACCAAGAGCCCTAATTTGGGATTGAGTTCTGTTAGATTTTGATCCCTTATTCCACTTCTCTTCCACCAATCAACTACTTCATTTGCGATCAAGACCCCATCCAAAATGTTCCTTCCCTCCAGGAAAGCGGATGGAGCCTCCCCAATTACCCTAGAAATCACTTGCCTCAACCTATTAGAAAGGACTTTAGCAAGAATTTTATACATAGAGCCAATTAGACTAATTGGCCTACACTCCGAAATGCTAACTGGACCCTCGACTTTTGGAATAAGAGTGACGAAGGAGCTATTAACACCACCAGCCAATTTTCCATTCTCATGAAATTCATTGAAAAACCTCAACACATCAAACTTAAGGACCTTCCAGCACTTTTGAGAACACAGAAGGTTAAAACCGTCAGGACCGTGAGCTTTATTCCCATCACAGCTCTTGACAGCAGCCCACACCTCCTCCTCTGTGAATCTTGCTTCAAGACCTTCAGCAACACCATCACTACCAACAGATTTAAACTGACCAACCAGCTTAGGCCTAAACCTCCATTGTTCAGAGAACACATGCTTGAAATGATTAAAGACCTCAGACTTCACTCTTTGCGGGTCCTCATACAACACCCCACCCACAAATACAGAATTAACAAGTTCCTGCTTTTTCTCCTAGACGCCACAATATGGAAATATCTCGTATTCCTGTCCCCCAACAGGCTCCAGTTCATCCTAGACTTTTGAAGCCACAACCATTCTTGTTTCTTGTTCAAAGACCAAACTTCTTTTTTGAGCTTCCTTCTTCGATCTACTTCAGCATTGGATAACTCCCTAGATTCAGCCAATAAATCAAGATTATGTAACTCAGATTCAGCTGCCTTCACTAAGTGTGCCACATTCCCAAACACTTCATGATTCCAACTCTTTAGCACCCGACGAAGATTTTTAAGCTTCTCTTGAATAACAAAACCAGCCCAACCACTAATTTCTGGTTCTACCCAAGAAAACTTAATGACTGACAAGAACTGAGGATGCAAAATCCACGCATTAACAAACCGAAACGGCCTAGGACCCCAATCCCTGCTATCCTCCATGAGGAGAAGAGGACAATGATCAGAAAGCCCTCTTGGAAGACCCCATAATGTAAAGTTAAACTTTTCCAGCCACTCTGAAGAAAGTAAAATTCTATCTATTCTACTCCAGCTGCCCCTCACACTTGAGTTACTCCATGTAAATTGTCTACCCTGCATGGGCACATCATATAGTTCAACACCCTCAATAAATTCATTAAACTCCCTCATCCCTTTGTCTCTTCTTAAACACCCCTTCCTTTCCCCCATACTTCTAACCTCATTAAAATCCCTCCCTAAACACCAAGGATCTACATACTTAGCCTTTAAATTACGCAGTGCATTCCAGACAACACCCCTTCTGGTTACATCATTTGGAGCATAAACATTGACGAAAACACAATTGAAACGAGGAAGGATCGTACCTGACAGAATTAAGAAATTTCTTGAGCTGCAACACTTAGCAAGTGAAAACACACTAGCCTTCCAAACACATAAAACACCACCAGAGAACCCATCAGCGTCAACAGACATATATTCCAAATCATCATATGGCCAAATAGACTTAACTAATTCTTTGGACACTCCAACCTTTTTCGTTTCTTGCAAAAACAGGACATCAACCATCCTCTCCTGTACTATATTCCTAATTTTCCGTCGCTTCTCAGATTGCCCAATACCCCTTATATTCCAAGACAACAGCTTCATTACAAACATTTAAACACCTTACCTTCACCTAGTAGATGCTCGTGATCAATCACCAGCAGCCACCTGTGCTGCTTTTCTTGCACCTTCCTCTTCAAGCTCAACAATTTTTCGCACCACCTCTTCTTCCTTGCCTAAAAAATCAATCCCCAGAGCTTTGCCCATTTTGACTGTTTCCATCGCCTTAGCTATGAGGACATTGTTCTTACCCGAATCCTGTCCAAGTGATTTCTGCCGTGACAGAACAGATGCTGCAACTCGGAAAGCCGGACCCTTGTGCCAATTCGCCATGGATGATGATCCTCCACCTCTTGACACAACCTTTTGCTTTTGACGAGCAATCCCTCCCCTTCTTTCTTTCCCCGAACCAGCATCACCAAGAGCCCTAATTTGGGATTGAGTTCTGTTAGATTTTGATCCCTTATTTAACAACAGCTCACCAGATTTAGCCCCAGCTAACGTTGAATGGTTTCTGCCATGGGCCTGATCCACTGAACAACTAATAAAGGATTGAACCAAATCCACAGAATTATTGTTGGGCTTACTTAAGCCCATATTCACTTGGTTGTTAATGGGCTTACTTAAGACCAAACTTAAAGGGGCTTTATCCAATACAACCTCTAAATTTATTCCAGGCCAATTAACAGCATCCCCACTCAAACTGTTCATATACCCAGGTGTAAGAACCTTTTCTACCTCGTCATCCTCAGTGCTGCCCTTGACACTCTGCGTCTCCAGCAGTCCATGTTCCTCTGCACGATTTTCATGAAACTCAGCCACCTTTGTGTTTCCCCCACATTTACTAGCCGATTCCACCACAATGAATGGATACGAAACGACTTTCTGACCTTCACTAACATTGGCCCCACTAAGTGACACCTCATTCCGTTGAACAACTGCCACCTCTTCTTCAACAGCCCCATCATGAGACTCATCACCAGCCACTTCAGCATCATCTTCCTCATCACTGTTTCCATGTTCACCATCCATCTGCTCGAGCTTGTTTGAGCTATGACAATCATGTATGGCACACTTACAATCCACCTGCACTACGTTGGACACCATGCTTGCTCCTCACACACCCTTACAGGGTATCTCCTATCCCCACTTAAAACCAGAATACTTGAATTGATAGACTCCATGAATTTAGAGGCTATTTTAACTCTACCACATGAGAATGATGATAATTGCACTGTTTCATCATCTACCTTAAGAACCTCCCCCCAGATTCTACCAATCTTTATAAAATTATCCGCACTCCATAGGTTAAAAGGTACACCATAACAGCATAACCATACTTCCCTTTCCTGCTCAATATAATCCCATTTCTTCCATTCTGCTACTGATTCACACGATTCCTTTCAACAATCCTGAAGCAGTAATTGATTTTCCTCCAGGTGAGCTCGAGAAGAAAAAGATACATTAGCTTGTCTTCCCCCACCCCCTTTCCGTACTATAACCTCACCAGACCCCTTAGCCAAAACTGCCATCCGAAACTCTGAAAAGACATGATAACTTCTCAACTTCACAATAAGACTGTCAAAAAGCCAACCATTCCCCGCTTCTGTGGCAATAATCTCATGCTTTACCACCTCACGACACTGCCCACCTTGGACTGCATCAGCATAAGACTTTACACCAATATCTACCAATTCTGAGCGCCTTGTATACGTGGTTGCAGCTGTTCGAGCGAGTAAATTCTTTATCCGTCTTGATCCTTCTGTTCCTCTAACTTCTGCTGGTGCCCTTCTTTCAAACTCCGCTGTCTTCACCTTAAGGGCGTTGTCATCGCACCACAACCCATTGGCCTTTTGAATGGCCACTGAGGCAGCAATACTACAACCATACCTGACAAAACCAAACCTTGATTTAGTTGCTTTCCTAGTCTTATTCGGAATAAACACATCTCTAACAACTCCAAATTTCCCAAACAGGGAATGCAGATCCTTCGGGCTCATAGACCATGGAATATTATCAACGAACACAGTGTAGGTCTTATTTCCCCTTGTATTAGCCAACTTTCCTTTACCAGCAGGCATTCCTCTCCCATAGACCACTGGTTGCCATCCACCCAACTTGATATTATTACTTATCATTAACTTCTTAATGTAACTCTAGTCTTGCGTTAAAATAGTTGTTGGAAGTACTCAACTTTCCTTTACCATCTTTTTCGATTTTTTTCTTTCATTTTTTTCTTAACCAAAGCAACACAAAAAAACGAACATGTACACATTTTTTTTTAAACAAAACATGTCAAAAAACGAACAAGAACACATTTTTTTTTTCTCATTAAAAAAAAATACACAGAAACCCAAAAACTAAAACAAATAAACAAATTAACACAAGTCAAGTTTTCTCACCCAAATCGCTTTACTATAAACAAAGTTGTGAGCATTGCGGTTCTTGGGTGGTGTCTTGACGTTGTGGTTCCCTTTGCTTTCAATGGGAACCCGTCTCGACTTGGTTTCCAACTTCCTATTTCTAGGTCTTGGCAAATACAAACTCGCTCCATGTTTGGTCTCAAGTTGATCAAAATAACGAGGTCTAATATGACCTTTAACCTCATTACTACCAATGAAGTGTCTCCTACCCCCACGAGATGTTGGAATTTCTTCTATTTCTATGAGACACTCTCCCATGCAACTCAAAACAATAAGGGCGAATATGACCGTACTTACCACAATGATGACAAATAAAAACAAGGTGTATAGGATGTACCTTCTTTTCTTTGGTCTTACCAACTCTAAGAAGATTGAGAAGTCTTTTCTCTTGTTGAATCTTGTGCTCCCCCTGCCCTTGAGTTCTTGTATCATGAGATATGGAAGCACTCTGTTTTTGCTCTTTCTTACCACCAAAGCCAATGCCACTCTTGTTAGAATAAATTTGTTGAGACCCAATGATATTGTCCAAAGTCTTTGATCCTTTATTCCAAAGACCAATGGTAGCCATTGCAACCTTGAGTTCTTCCTCTTTCTTGATCATTAGTTCTTTCAAAGCAACTTGAGACATCTCGAGAGATTCAATCTTTTCTTCATACACGGCATAGATTTGTTGTAGCTCATTCTTCTCTGTCTTACAAGTCAAGAGTTTTGCACAAAGAGCTTGTTGATCATTAACTATCTTGATGGCATCAATCCTAGCCTCGAAAATCTCCTCCTTTTGTTTGACATTCTCACTTTTACAGGCTTTGAGTTTCATAGTGAGTTTGTCATTCAATTTGGATAAGTTAAGAGATTCCTTATACAATTTTTCATAAGCTTGCTCAAGCTCTTCACCATCACTCCCTGAGGATTTATCATCAGTGGCATTATCAACCGGTCTCTTCGAATACTCTGTTCGTCCTTCAATTTCGGAGGCCGCCATAAAAGTAAGGAATTGTTTATGTCCCTCTTCGCCTTGATCTTCATTGTCACTTTTATCTTCATCAGATTCTGATTCATCATCCCAAGTGATAGCGAGGGCTTTCTTCTTCTTCAAACGAGTGGGGCATTCTGAAGCAAAGTAGCCAAATCCTTGGCATTCATAGCATTGGACTCTTTCAGAGTTCCCTTGTATCTTTCCTTTCTTCTTCTTGGCTATAGAATTAATTTTGAGTTTATCTTTGCCTTTAAATTTATGAGTATTTCTCCTTCTTGGCTATAGAATTAATTTTGAGTTTATCTTTGCCTTTAAATTTATGAGTATGAGTAGATTCCAAAAGATTATGATTCTTTTTCAAAAAAGATTTTTTTAATTGTTTAACGAAAGCATCTGTAATCTTGGAATCTATCTCACAATCCTCATCAGAATCCTTTCCAACTCTATAAGCACTATTAAAAGCAATAGAATCTTTTTGTTTCTTTTTGAAATTCCTATGTGCCTCATAAGTTTGGAGATTTCCAACCAAGTGATCCAGCTTGAGATTGTCAACATCTTGAGCCTCCACAATAGCCGTAACTTTTGGTTGGAACCGATCGGGCAAGGACCTCAAAATTTTTCCTATAATCTTGGATTCCGGTATTTTTTCATCTAAATTGAAGCTGGAATTTACAATGTCACTCAACTTCGCATAAAATTCATCAAAGGTCTCACTATCTTTCATTGAAAGGTTTTCGAAACTGGACGTGAGCCTTTGAAGTTTTAAGCGTTTAACCGAAGGAGTGCCCTCATGAATAGTTTGTAAAATATCCCAAGCCTCTTTTGCAACTTCACAATTGCAAATTCGACTAAACTCTTCAGGTGTGACAGTGCAAAAGAGAGAATTGATAGCTTTACTATTCCAGCTACTATTTTGGTAATCAATTGTGTCCCACTTATCGATTGGTTTGGGGAAAGTTACTCCATCAACGGTAATCGTCGATTCAGTCCACCCATACATGACAGATTGCCAAATTTTTTCATCAATAGATTTTAAAAACCATCTCATCTGAGCTTTCCAAAACGAATAATTGGATTCGTCAAGTAGGGGTGATCGAACCATAGAATTTCCCTCACGAATTGAAGCCATTATCACAAATCAAAAAAGATCTCGCTCAAAAGTTTTAAACAACAAAAGAGTGACCGGCTTTGATACTAATTGAAAAATCTAGAAATCCCCTAGATGTTGATTTGTGATTATGTATCAATTTTAAGCAGTAAACAACAATCCCGATCAAACAATCAAGACAAAAGGACACAACGATTTTACGTGAAAAAATCACAATTGGACACCTCCAGTTGTGATAAAAAAAAATCACGGGCAAAAGCCACAAAACAATCCACTAAAAAAATATAAAAGAATTACACAGGTATACTCTTAATTACCTAGCGAACCCACGCCCAAATTGAACCAACCCCTATGTGTCTCTTCCAACCCCGTCTTCACCTCGGAATTGTCTTGACGATGAGCCACTCCAGAATCTACCAAAGCTTTAGGCTCAAATTCTTCAGAATCTACCGAAGAACAACTCTCTCTTTCGTATAGAATGAACAAACGAGCCTTTGATGTATTCTTCTTAACCCATGAGTTGAATACTCAATTAAAC